AGACTCTGCAGAGATCCAGGGTATCACGATACGGCGTGTCAGACCACAACTAACTAAGCCAGCAGAATGCACAGCCTTCTTGATAAGCGACCAGTGCTCACTGACGTTATCAGGTGGGGTTGGTTCTAGCTTTTCAGCTAGCGCGTTTTGGAAAATAGTTAGACAAGCTGGNGTTTGGACAGCTTATCACAGTCTAACCGTCGTTGTGTCGTGCGTTTGGAACGCCCACTGAAGCACATGGACAACTTAGCGCATACTAATGCGCGGTCGGATTCGAGGGAAGTGCTCCAGTACGATCGGCAGTCTTTTAAGACTGCCCTTCCGTTTGTGGCCTATCGCGATGTGGTCGATATGCATCCGTTGTTGACTCGAGGAGGGCGGACGCCAGGTGGCGTACTGGCAGTTGCAGTGCTTGAAGTTCGTACTGGCGAGGAACAGGCGGTGGTCGGAACATAGAGCCAACAGCCGTTCTCGTTTTCCGAGCGACAGGAATCTAGTCAGAAAAGACCGCCCAGATGCACCTCACTCAAAGTCAACCGGCCTACTCTAGCATTCATATCTACTGCTAAAATCACGATATCAGCCCGGGTGGCTTTACGCAAGAGGTTGTGTAGATAGTGGTAAAAATCATCTTTGACTGTATCTGGTCTACGGTTCATAGGTGCGTACGCTGAGACGACAAACAAGTTGCGTCTTTCGGAGCGATGACTATTTACTTTGCACGAGCCTCTAAGCCTTGTTGTGCATAACCTACTGTCGACTAGGATCCAATCCAGGAGCATGGTTTCAGCTCTCTCACTGAGAGCCAGACCAACACCAGCAAGGCCAGAAGCCGCAACCTCGGGGTCCCCAGAAAGACGCAGGTGAAACTTTGCGGATGGGTTTGAAGAGGATGTCAATCGGATGGCGGAGCTAGAGTCCTGAATGCGAGTTTCTTGGATACAACACACATCGATGGCTATGTTCTCGAGGGTACGAACTAAACACGCCTGTTGTCCTATACGCATCAAGGGGTACGTTAAATGTGTCTAGTTTGAATGGGCATCAAGGACGAATAAGAGCTTCAACTGGAGAAAGATTCGGTGAGACTTGGACTCTATTCGAGGCAGGACGCGAGAGAAAAGGGACGGAATTTTCATGGGAGGCACAGCTGGTAGTACGATTGTCTGAAGATCTTGATAACAATGGTAATGGGTGAATGTGAGGTGGAGGAAAAACTGGAAAAAAGGAAGATGTGCACGGTGTAAAACGTTTTTTCATGCGCGTGGAGAACTGAAAGAACAAGTTATTGATTAAGCTGAAGTTCATTGTTTGCATTGTGGGCTGTTGTACTACTCGGTCGCCCAGTCCAGAGTAGGCCTTGTTCGAGGATGCACTCTAGTCTTTACGCAACCAAGCGCGAGCTACAAGGCAGAAGTATTGTTCCAGATAAACCGGTGACCGGTCGGTTGGTTCATTCGCCTTCTCTGAAAGACCTTGTCGGGTAGATGAAATTTGACAGGGGGCAATTGCTGTATTCAGTGGCGGGCCACACTCACCACGTCACAGCGCCGTCATAAGAGGCATGTGGTGTTGTGTGTGGAGAACCTTTGCCAAGTGGTAAACCGACCACGTCCTCGAGCACTGCCGCTGATCGTCTGCGACCGCTTATTCAGTGACAATAAACCCACCTTATTCACAGTTAACCGCCAGTTAGCGGCCGTTCCTCCATCCGCGATCTGTGGACGCGCTCGGTGGCATACAGCACTGCTCTTTCTGCCACATAAACCCAGTGAATAAGGCTTCCTCAGTTGAGGCTGTTTGATACGCTTGATTGTAATGGAAAATAACATTCGTGAAGCCAAAAGGAAAGGTGACCAATAGCAACTGAAGACATCCATCCCTGACTATACTGAAGCTTTCGGAGTCAACAGTGTGCAATATAATGAAAACTTGTTAAGAAAAACTCTTTCAGCGGTGAACAGGTTCAATCAACGATCATTCGCCATCAAAGTAATGTTCTTCCTGCAACCTCGGAGTACCGTATGACCCAATGTTAAATACGATCATATTGCTATACTGACTGCATTGTCCAGTGGTAAATAATCAGCTTTTGCTCATCATGTTCTTCCGTCCAGTTGTCCCATTCATGAACCGCTGTACTCAAAACTGTTAACTTATCTTTTGAAACTGCGAAGCAAAACGACTGACCACTGTTAATGCACTGGTATGTTGATTCTTTAAGCAATATGTTCCATACATTTTCATTTAGATAGTTCTAGAATGCAAAATAACTTAGTTTTTCCTTGGTTAGCTTGATCGCGCAATCAAATAACGATCATTGTTCACTATAGCGGGATAAGTACTAGATGGGAATAATTCCCTTTTGTTATGTGGGCCTATTCGGTTGGGCTATACCAATGTTGTTTGGCATTAAAAGGTTTTGAATCTGTGAGCTGATGAAAATACATGAAAATAACAACCTCCCCGATTATTACATGAACCGGTACGCGAATCGAATAAGCATTTAATGAGATTCTACTAGTACAAACCTGTGGCAAACTGCGAGATATTATTTAATAATAGTATCAGAGTGGTGCAAAAGAAGGAAAAACTCTCTTTTAATGTATATACAGATGAATGTAGAGCCCTACCAATAATACACCTTACATTCGTTTCACAGCTAGTTACGTCACTAGGTAAAGTCACTCCATGAATGTCTTACGGGGAGTCGTGTAAGTAGACATGGAAAGCGTTTTATGGAACCGCATACCCAAGTGCCGCTGAATAATCTAACAGAATAGAACAAGGAAGACAAATCCCCAGCGAAAATTATACTACATTTAAAGATCTTAATAGATGTGATGAATAGGGTCCTGTCTCGGGTTCGATATTGCCTATGATCTCTTCCTAAGTATTATAATTTTTTGGTTTTGAAAACAAATTCCATCAAAATATTGGTTATTAGGTAAATCAATAACTGTTCACTACTGTAGCATGTCCAACATGGTGGTACTCACATAATTAAATCTATGCACACATTGCTTCTTTCTGATATGTGATCTCATCACAAAAATCGATCCCGTCCTGAAGCTGTGAAGGGTAACAAAGAGTTTAATTTGTAATGAAGTCATCTCCGGGTGGAATAAATCTCCTTACCAGTTACAACAGACTCTCTCTCTCACGCTGTTTCGCGTCTAGCTACCATACAAAACTAAAATCAACGGCATCTCTTTGCGTTTAATGACCGTCACTCCGATAACGTTTGAAGTGCAGCAACTAAAACTGAAAAAATTAACGACCACTCGAACAAGTAAAAGGGATTTTTTCCCGTACGAAGGAGAGTGTCCTCGAAAGACAATGGTCTCTTAGTAGAGAAAGTCTTGTGCTTAACAATGCAATCCGCATATTGGAAGCGAATGTGCATGCAAGCGTCTGAAAAGAGTCTACACATATTTTGATATCTGCAGTAAAACGAAATTGAATCTAACAGAATGGAAGAACAGTGTTTCCCGGGGAGGTTGTGAATTTATACATTAATCAAGATTGGTCTATTTCGCCATTCATGTTCGGTGTTCATGCGCATTCTCTCATCATCAAACACTGGAAATTTATTCTTATTGCTTGTTAAAAAAATAATGGGGAAGATTAATATTCAGTCCTGGGTGCGATGACCTCCTCGATCTATCTGCTCGAACTACTTTGTTATCATATCACGTTCTTGAGGACTATTGTATTTATTAATGAATCTCAGAGACTTCACCTTGATTTAATGAAAGAATGATACGCTTCATCGTCCCAAGGACTAACTGTTCAGTAATGGAGTACCTACCTGGAGTAGGTCCTGGAAACGGGAACGAAGTACCTACTAAGGTCCCACGTGTGATACGCACTGTAATTAACTGAACCTGTTAGCGTCTCTTCAGCCCCACGAGTCCATCGACGTGACTGAGGATTGAACCCAGGACCTCACACAGGAGGCAGGCATAAAATCCACTTGACCACCGGGCTGCTGATCAGACAGTTTTTTCACTTGGTCTACATATTGCAAGATGTTCAGTTAGTAAGGCCTCGGGTTCAGTCAGTTGAGTCGATGGAATCACCCTGCTGATGGGACCAAACATCGCCGAAATGGCTCGAAAAGATTTTAGTTTTACGCTCCGTTTCCTCTGTACAAGACGAACTTCACCGGATAGCTCCGTAGTGCTGTTAAACTCTGATTGATGATCACCCTTAATGTGAGTTCCTCAATCCCACTGACAAGGGAATCACAGAATCCACGTACACAATAGAGCAGTATTGTCCACCTGGCCAAGGGATAGGTAATTAGATTACTTCACATGAAATCGAGCAACCCATTAATCTTAAATATGTATTTTGAATCAATGAAACGAAGGCGAACTTTCCCCCCTCTTGATTCCATGCTCAACTAACCTCCTCTATCCGGTTCGTCCTCCGCAAATGCGAGTTTTTAACGTGGCAACCAAACGAACATGAGGAATAAAACATGGCAGTGAATAAATCTTGTGCGGTTTGATATTGCGATTCAACTCGATGATAACTGTGATGATACTAGTAATGATAATAATGATAATGATAATAATAGTATGATGAATCAGAACATCAGAACAAACTGTGGTTGAACAAACGGTTCATTTGGACTGTGTGGGAAATGAGTCTGTTGTATTCATCTTTCGTGTGGCGGCAAGAATAAAGTTGGTGAAAAATAAGTCACAGTGGCCTTAAACAGACCGATCAAATGTGCCTGTTGATTGTGTTTGATTGGATTGGAAACACACTACAAAACACAAAAGAGTCCGGAGTGGAAGGATGCTGGTGCGTTAGGAGGGAAAGGAATGCGTGGTGCAAAAAAAAGAAAACAATTTGAACGATTTTGTGTTGTCGGGTATTTCTTCTTTGAGCGTTCCACGTGATTCAAAACACAGCCTATCTCGAAGTGAGAATGAGAGAATTGGGGGGAATAAATGATGGAAAGCGAAAACGGTTATTCTATTGGTAGCTCAATTATCTATCAGTTGTGTCACACTCCATGCTACGGTACGTGCACTGGTACGGACCTCTTGAGCGGGCTCCACGGAAGCTGCATTCCACTCTAAAACTGTTCCGAATCCGTTATTCATATGAGATTCTACGGGACTGTGCTCAGTACCGACAGAATCGGATTTGTCTAAACATGCAGATTCCAAATGTTTGTTTAAATAAGATTTCAGTGCGAAGTTTTTGTGGCATCGTTTACATTCGTATTGTTTCATCCCGGAATGTGTCTGCATATGCGCACGTAGGTTGGATCGATCGGCGAACGCTCGACCACAATGGGCACATCCGTAGGGTTTCTCTCCAGTGTGGGCTCGACGGTGACCTTGTAGAAGCCACGGTCGACTGAACGCTTTGCCGCACAAATCACATCGATGCTTCAGATCGTGTGTAAGGATATGCATGGATAAGGCGGGCATAGAGACGTAAGTTTTACCGCAATGGGGGCATTTTCGTGCGGCTTGGCTGTCCAGGCTACGGTGGGTCTGTTTATGTCGGCTCAGATTGGATGAGGTTGCGTAACTCTTTCCACAATCCGGACAACTGTAACGCTGAGTATGTTGATCCGGTGGAGGACTCAATGAAGCGGCAATAAGTAATTGGGATGTTGAGTTTGACGTGGACTGAATTGGATTCGCTTCGGTACTAGAATCTCTCAGTGGTATGCCATTCGACGAGGTGCTCGACGAACTGACCGACTGTGATGATGACGAGCTGAGGCTCATCAGTCCTGACTCGTTTCGAGTACGTTGGTTAACTGCTCGTTGTTGATGAGGTTGATGTTGTTGCGTTTGCAATTTTCCCTTACCACGTCGTCGTGATCGTCCATCCGAGACGAAAAATGCGTCATACGTGTATCCGACTGTCACACCGGCTTGAAATCCGGACTTCCGATGTTTCGATCTTGTCGTATGCATGTGTTCACGAGTACTGCTCACAGGAACAGTCGGACTCATGGGTTGAGATCTTTGCACACCTCCAGTTGTTCCCTCACTGAACATCAGATTGACTAAAGCGGAATCGATTGCGCTCCCATGAGATTCTAAACTGGTCTCATTGGGATCCAGTTTGAACGGTAGTTGTGAAGGAGGAGGTGGTGGTATTGGGGACAAAGTGATATGACTGTGTTGTTGAACCGGAGTGCTTATCCGACTGAGAGCGATCAAACTATGTCGAACCGTGGCATCTTCCGGTGGACTGGTGAGTCCAGAGAAGAGGAAAGCTTGATTGGGTGTGGTGGATGGATTTGTCAGAGAGTCTGCATTGTGTTGATTTCGTCGACTGGTTACTGATAGATCGATGCATCCACCTGAATGAGGGGAGTGAAATGAAAAATAAAACGATAAGGACTATTCGAATAATTAATAATGGACAACAAAGGGACGAGAAAGGACTTCCGGAAATTCGGATTCAGAGTAAGTAATCACTCGGTTGGTGAACCTAGTTATTTTAATATATATGTGTATATTCTTTAAACGGAAGTCAGTCTAAAGATGCGTTTTACAATTATTGTTATATGCATAAGTGTATTAAGGATTGATTAGATGACGTTCAAACGCTTTTCTAAAGTAATGCTTGACATAGATTGGAACTTGACTGTTAAAGTGATGGAATTCGTCATGTTTCTCGTTCCCAAAACTCAGATTCCTATTATTTTATCAAGGATGCTATTAGTATTTCACAAAACAGTGGTCAAAATATAGCAAATACGAAAACAAGGTATCTCACTTGTTGTTCATGTATAAATTTTTGTTTAGGATTCTTCTCCTAAATATTGATGACCTGACTGTTGCATTCCATTCAGAGTTGAACGGTACTCAAACACATTTATAGAACGCATCAGGAAACTGTACGAACAAGTAAACTGGATCACTCCGGCACACCACTGAGGTGGCTCATAAATAGCGGGCGCATGTGCCTTCAAAGAGTGTTTTTACATTGTCCAAGGTTGATGGTTATCGAGCTAAAAGCTTCCCGCTGGTCTTGGGGTAGTAGACGCACGCTCTCTTTGTGAGAAGTCCCTGGTTCAGCTTCCGTAAGCCGTGTTTGTGGACGGTACCCCGTCTGATTGAAACATTCCTATTCTGTATTTCCTTTGTTCCATACTCGAAAATGTTGACTCTATAATAAAATAAACTGATCCACTGCATCGTCCGAATTGCTCACGACTGATAGTGAAGGTTTTGTGGTTAGCCTTCACGTAATGGTAATTCCTTGGTATTCTCAATTATCTCCACCATGTGACCATGAGCATATGTGTGAGAGGGCGGATGGCAAATTCCGTCAAGTATCTCAACACGTAGAAAATCATCGAACATATGGATTAACAAACTTATAGTGTATTGCATTGTCTTCTGTCACCACTTCACAATCCAGATTTCATCAGCGCCAACGGCATAGGTCAATCAGTTCAACCGAGTTCCCGGTGTTAGGTGGTCAGATGGTA